TTATATTTATTTAAACCGCTAAAACCATGTGGGTCACTGAAGGACTAGTGAAGGCTCAATCCGCTACCTGCGCGACTGAGAAGTTGCATAGTTGTACTTGCTTCTTCAGCATTTGAGAGTTGAGAAGTAATGAGAGAGCGAGTAGGTGGTGCCTACATCTGTTAACAGACCGTCAATTGCCTACATCTGTTAACAGACTGTCAGTTACCTACATCTGTTAACAGACCCTCAGTTGCCTACATCTCTAAACAGACCCTCAGTTGCCTACATCTCTAAACAGACCCTCAGTTGCCTACATCTCTAAACAGACCGTCAGTTGCCTACAGCTCTTAACAGACCGTCAGTTGCCTAACATACACATATAACCCGGCCTCCATCCCCAGGCTAATATCAACAAAATCCTGCAATGAAAGCCTCAATTAAAGCCAGTGTACATACAAGCTTGCTTCTGCTTGCTATTTGCTCGGGTCGAGTTACTCATACCTGTGAGGTCTCAATATGTGATATAACCCCAGGGTGGGTGTGCTCTACTGCATCCTGCCCAGGAGCCCAGGAGCCCAGACGCCAGTAGGAGTATATTGTGGAGTTGCTAGGTACCTATTCCTGAGCATATAGCAGCTCCGCATGTGTGATCTGAAGGGCAGTTTTGTGTTTTGTCATGAGCCTATTGGTCCGGGCCGTTGATGTTTTCACTACAGTAATTTAGGGAGTTAGTGGCAGCGCTCAGCTCACAACCATGAAGACCTGGGGTGTTCCGTGGCCTGGTAGGCAATGCTCTCGCCTCACACACTGAGTGTTCGTGGTTCAATCCCCGGTAGGATGGAAACATTGGGCGTGTTTCCTTACACCTGCTATCCACATTCACTTGCAAGTAGGTAGGTAGGTACCTGGGTGTTAATGGACTGGTGTGGGTCTCATCCTAGGGGACAATGGAAATAAGACAGACAATCCTCGATGGCGCACTGACTTTCTTGGGTTATACAGGATGGCTAACCCTCCGGGGTTAAAAATCACTGAACATCTATTGTCTCTGTTACCTAGGAAAAAACAGAAACAAGTTAGTCTCCTAGTGTGGAGTCACATCCTGGGGAAGAGATCTTGCAAAGGCCTACGATGTAAATATGTCACACTGCCTGACTTTCTTTGGGTTATCGCGGATTATTATCCCTCCCAGTAAAATCTTCGACCAGAGAAGACGAGGGATGAAATGCCATCATTTCATTAATTTCATTTTCTAGAGGGACATCAAGTTGAATACAAACAGGAAAAGGGTCTGTCTCACGCCCAGCAGTCGGAGGATCGAGCCTCCACAAGGGGTTTAGCGTTTAACATGAATTATTTTTAATTTCCATTTTCTATAATTCTAACATAAAATGTATTCTCTAGGTTATAATTCTAGAACTAGCCATTAAGCTAGGTTAAAGAACAAAATGGCACAATAACACAAAAAGGCACAATACTGTGACTTATAAAAAGGAATTAGAAAAGCAAAAAGAGATTATGAGGTTAAAGTTGCAAGAGATTCGAAGACTAACCCGAAAGGATTCTTTCAGGTATACAGAAGTAAGATCAGGGACAAGATAGGCCCACTCAAAAGTTCCTCGGGTCAGCTCACTGACAGTGATAAGAAAATGTGTAGAAGTTTTAACACATACTTCCTCTCAGTTTTTACACAGGAGGATACCAGCGATATTCCAGAAATGATAAATTATGTGGAACAGGACGATAATAAACTGTGCACGATTAGGGTCACAAGTGACATGGTCCTTAGGCAAATAGATAAATTAAAACCTAACAAATCCCCAGGCCCTGATGAACTGTATGCAAGGGTTCTAAAGGAATGTAAAGAGGAGCCTAGCAAACCTTTGGCTAATCTTTTCAACATATCACTACAAACTGGCATGGTGCCAGATAAGTGGAAAATGGCAAATGTGATACCTATTTTCAAAGCAGGTGACAGGTCCTTAGCTTCAAACTATAGACCAATAAGCCTAACCTCCATAGTGGGAAAATTTATGGAATCAATAATTGCCGAGGCAGTTCGTAGCCACCTTGAAAAGCATAAATTAATCAACGAATCTCAGCATGGTTTTACAAAGGGGCGTTCCTGCCTTACGAATTTGTTAACTTTTTCACTAAGGTATTTGAGGAGGTAGATCATGGTAATGAATATGATATTGTGTACATGGACTTCAGTAAGGATTTGACAGGGTCCCACATCAGAGACTATTGAGGAAAATTAAGGCACATGGAATAGGAGGAGAAATTTTTTCCTGGATAGAGGCATGGTTGACAAATAGGCAGCAGAGAGTTTGCATAAATGGGGAGAAATCAGAGTGGGGAAGCGTCACGAGCGGTGTTCCACAGGGGTCAGTGTTTGGCCCCCTGCTGTTCACAATATACATAAACGACATAGATGAGGGCATAAAGAGCGACATCAGCAAGTTTGCCGATGACACCAAAATAGGCCGTCGAATTCATTCTGACGAGGACATTAGAACACTCCAGGAAGATTTGAGTAGACTGATGCAGTGGTCGGAGAGGTGGCAGATGCAGTTTAATATAGACAAATGCAAAGTTCTAAATGTTGGACAGAACAATAACCATGCCACATATAAACTAAATAATGTAGATCTTAATATTACGGATTGCGAAAAGATTTAGGAGTTCTGGTTAGCAGTAAATCTGAAACCAAGACAACAGTGCATAAGTGTTCGCAATAAAGCTAATAGAATCCTTGGCTTTATTTTCAAGAAGCATAAATAATAGGAGTCCTCAGGTTGTTCTTCAACTCTATACATCCTTGGTTAGGCCTCATTTAGATTATGCTGCACAGTTTTGGTCACCGTATTACAGAATGGATATAAATGCTCTGGAAAATGTACAAAGGAGGATGACAAAGTTGATCCCATGTATCAGAAACCTTCCCTATGAGGATAGACTAAGGGCCCTGAATCTTCACTCTCTAGAAAGACGTAGAATTAGGGGGGATATGAATGAGGTGTATAAATGGAAGACAGGAATAAATAAAGGGAATGTAAATAGTGTGCTGAAAATATCTAGCCTAGACAGGACTCGCAGCAATGGTTTTAAGTTAGAAAAATTCAGATTCAGGAAGGATATAGGAAAGTACTGGTTTGGTAATAGAGTTGTGGATTAGTGGAACAAACTCCCAAGTACAGTTATAGAGGCCAGAACGTTGTGTAGCTTTAAAAATAGGATGGATAAATACATGAGTGGGTGTGGGTGGGTGTGAGTTGGACCTGATTAGCTTGTGCTACCAGGACGGTTGCCGTGTTCCTCCCTTAAGTCAAGGTGACCTGACCTGACTAGGTTGGGTGCATTGGCTTAAGCCGGTAGGAGACTTGGACCTGCCTCGCATGGGCCAGTAGGCCTGCTGCAGTGTTCCTTCGTTCTTATGTTCTTATGTTCTTATAAATGGTCCAAGTCGGACCGAAACATCACCATTTTCTCCTCTTTCCCATGTGCGGACTATATGTGTATTGCTTAGATTGTAGGAGAAATAGCCATCCACATGTTATGACTAACATGTAAGTCTTAATAACTGACATTTCTCACCCTCCGTATGACATTATAGATACATAATGGTTATAATCTCAAACCATAATTATCCTAATCTCTGCATGACCGCTACGAGATTAGTGCTTCCCCGTGAATATATTAATATTGCATTTATTTCGGTGAGTGATAGCTGCTGTGAGGACACTGACCCCGTGCAGTGTAAACAGTGATGTGAGAGGCGAGGAGTACACTGAACTCCGTGTAGTGTAAACAGTGACGTGAGAGGCGAATAGAACACCGACCCCGTGCAGTGTAAATAGTGACGTGAGAGGCGTGTAGCACACTGAACCCCGTGCAGTGTAAACAGTGACGTGAGAGGCGAGTAATATACCGAGCCGAGGAACTCGCCTTCGCATTTGGACAAATATAAAGTTTCCATTTTCATTTATTTTCTCATTTTAGTGCCCTAAATTACTCGCTCGAGCCAAATTTTTTTTTTAAAAGACGTGCAATATATATACCTTTTTTTTTACGTTTTAATTGCGCTTCAGATAAATTCTTGTCGGGGCAGATGGGCTGGGAAGAATGATTAAAAATGTTTCTGGATGTTATTTTCCCCGTGGAGGAATAACTAAAATGTATATCATGAAATGGTTGGTTGGTTAATGGAGGTTTGAAATCTGTCTACTGCACGATGGTCATTAAGGTTGCAAAATAACCTGAACGTAGATATTAAAGCAAACTCTCAGAGTATATATGCTGAGGATCATTAATATTTCAGTGTATATTCGTTGATAGGCATTAACCTTTCGGTGTATATACACTGAGAGGCATTAACATCTAGGTGTATATACACTGAAAGGTATTAGCGTCTCAGTGTATATACATTGAGAGGCATTAATATCTCGGTGCATATTCAATGAGAGGCATTAACATTTCTGTGTATATACAATGAGAGGCATTAACCTCTCAATGTATATATCCCGCTTCACGAAATAAATTTACTCATAATAAACATTAAACATTCTAAGCAGTGCAAAAGACTCATGCCAAAAAATGTTAAACATCATAAAAAATCTAAGAATACAAATTAAAAATAATATTGCAAAACAATATATCATTTATCATACTTTTTTTTTATTTCTGACGTATAGAATACATTCACTATGTATGATTATACTTCCTGTGTTGTAGCGCAGTCTCTGTCTCACTGGTTCTATACACTGTGAGGTGTCTCTCTTCTCTCTCTCTCTCTCTCTCTTCTTTTTCTTCTACTTCTTCCTCCTCTTCGTCTTCTTCCTTTTCGTCTTCTTCCTCTTCCTCATATTCCTCGTCATACTCTTCCTCTTAATCATTTTCATCTTCTTCGTCTTCGTCTTCCTCTCCAAATCCCCTCTCCTACCTATTTTCCATCTTACATATTTTTTGTATTTACCTTCTCCTTCTCTTCCTCCTCCTCCTCCTCATCATCATCATCATCATTCAGTGTTTTTTACTACTCCATTTCCTTCAACATTTACTCTTCTCTTGCTCTCTTTTATCGTCCCATCTTCCCCATTATCATCGTTTCCTGCTTCATCTGATTGAACAAGGTTCCTCTTTACATAATTATCAGATTTAAAACAACGGTTCGCACGACACTGGTCGTAGATAAATGAGGGAGCACGACACTGGTCGTAGATAGATGAGTGAGCACGACACTGGTCGTAGATAGATGAGTGAGCACGACACTGGTCGTAGATAGATGAGTGAGCACGACACTGGTCGTAGATAGATGGGTGAGCACGACACTGGTCGTAGATAGATGAGTGAGCACGACGCTGGTCGTAGAGGAGTGAGCACGGTACTAGTCGTAGATGAACGAGCACGACACTGGTCGTAGATGAACAGTTGACCAGC